AAGTGTTTGAATAGTAACAGCGATTTAGGCTGTATTCTCCACAAATTCTAATGTGTAGTAGCCGACAAATAAGTAGTTAAAGGGAGATCAATCATTTGTGAATGCGTTTGTGTGGGTAGTTGGTAACTATTTGTACTGACACGCAGAGATTGACGAATTAGGAGAAATGTATTTGAATAACATAATAGAAGAAGGTTTTTGAAATCAGGTAATATCTCGTTATAATGATACAATGATGCTTATAGGCGTTTAATTTTTATTTCTACAACTGTCAAATCTGTAGAAAAAAACAATTTTCATATATTTCACGTTTTAAACCGTTAGTGTTTTGTTTTAACGATTTATTTTGATAACCTACTTGATGATGAAATCAACAAGGATGTACGAAGTAATAAATTTTATTTGAATGAACTAAAAAAATGTCTGCAGGTTTTGTGGGTCTATAGCTTACGCGAGTAGTACACATTTAAATAAAACATTTCGTTTTTTTAAAAGGGGTGTTTTTTTTAAAATTTTTTTAAAAAATTTTTTTTTCCTCGGCCCCGGCGTTTGGGGGTTTTTCGGGGGCCGGTCCCGGCCGTAAAAATGTTTTATTTAAATCCGCAGTATATGCCTATGTTTTAGGATAAACTCGCAAGAACGACGGACGCGGACGACGTTGTGGCTAACAGCTATAATTTATAAAACTATAAAAATAACCAATATCTTGTCCAAAATAGCTATTTCATGCGGACGAAATCGCGGGCACAGCTAGTGAAGTTATAGACCGCTTCTTTGGTGGACATAAATTATTACGCGTATTATTTCCCTGCGTTGATCGGTTTGACCTAAGTATCACTCGCCCAGCTGTGGGAATCTGGCCATGACATGCAATAAATACAATGTAAGTGATAAAAAGTGCTGTCCCGCAGAAACTCCTCGGCATTTTAATTAGCTTAAGACAGGGCCGAATGGGGTTCGCCTCTAATGTCACCCGTAATCCCTTTATGCAGTTATTCAATCACTTATTTCTAATGCTAATTTGCATTCCAATGCTTCGGTTATAAACCTAGATAAACTAGACTTATCCGTTTACTGCGGAAATCAAGGAAAAATGGATTATGATTGCTTTCAATGTATACTTGGATTTTAGTCCGTCGTAATTGAGAATCGGTTCGACGTTTCGCCATCGCTAGAGATGACGTCATTAAATGTTGCGCGTTTTGGACTTAGCGAAGACTGTGCCTCTCATATTATGACTAGAACTGTGTCAGCGACTTCCTCCGTGTAGAATTGTTATTTATGGGTTATTTTGGGCATCCAAATTTGTTTTTGCAAACCTCTACATCTTAATAAATTTTTGCTGCCCACGACATCGGTCGCGAGATGAAAAATTCACCTGTTTTGTTCACATTTCCCACTGTATCTTCGCTTCTATTAGTCACAGCGCGATGTTTTATAGTATAGGCCTTTCTCGATAAATACTCTAACACAAAAAGAATTCGAACCAGTAGTTCCTGAGATTAGCGCCTTCAAACAAACAAACTCTTATATATTAGTATAAATTTTGCGTTTTAAACCGCTATGTGTATGAAAATGTGTACTAAGTATTCGCGTAAACTACAACAAGTATTTGTCTTTTATTATATTCACAGACGTAGCAATATGTGTTACAAAATATTACGCCTTATATTAGCTGTAACTGTTAGTGCCAAAGTTACTGTTTTTATTAATTGCGTAAAAAATAAAGCCTCTCGCTTCATTATATTCAGATAAATTACCTCATTATTTATAACGTGGCTTTATAACAGTTATTTAATACATGTTCCATCCGTGTCATCTGATACAAACCCAGACCACTACAAAATTATACCTATCAAATTGTACAAGATGGACCCTTTCCAAACATGCCACTTATTGATATGACCTGACCTTAAAAGACATTCAGGAGATAATATTTTCCTTACCCATGTTAACAAGTATTATTTGTCACCTATTTTTTTTTCATTTTTATGTAAGAGAAGGGCGGGAGCATGGAGATCACTTATGGAAAAATTAAATGACGAACATTGAAGATGTAAAATACATCCCTTGCTTGCAGTCCATAGTCGTTTAAATAAATTATTAAATTAAATCTCATAGAGCAATTTTGAGTAGTAAGAATATCGATATTCCGTCCGAGTTACGAACCATCGTTCACAAAAAAAGTGAAGTGTAATCGCGACTGGGTTTCTGTGGATTTCAGAATATCCGAGCCATAAATAGGACGACGGCGCATCTTGTTTAGATATTATGTGGCACCTCCCATTTAGTAAAAGAATGAAGAAACAATCGTTTTATATTTACATTTTACTCACCTAGAATTGTATTTCACGTTTTTTTTCTTTATATTTATCATCCCAAAATTTATTTCAATACTGTTAATATAGTAAAGAATTTAATTACCTTCTTTTACAATTGGTTAAATCTGCCTTAGAATGTTAATGAGACAGCACAGTGGGTTTCTTAACGAGCTCTTTTAACTAGATATCACTCCAGGGTGTTCTATTTTCAAACACGTGTAAGATCTAAAACACTTTGTAAGTGGATCACGTGTAAAAGAAGTTTTATAATAAATTGATACACCTTCCAAATAAAAATGCAATTTCAAGCTGGACTGAATAAAACGTAATATATTTCTTCCCAGCAAAAGCATAGCTTTGTATATAACCGTGTTCTGGGTTCAAAATATGATGACCAGACTAAGACAACTAATAAACATTTAATAATTAAATAAAATAAGCATTAAATAAACAAAAGGGTACGGTTTCAGATACTACTTTTTTTAATGCTAGATGAGGGCAGACAAGCATGGGTTGACTTGGTGGTATATAGCAATATACACGATGCGCTGGCGCCCTTTTTTGTCTTTGGATTTTCGAAAATCCACAGCCTGAAACCGAAACGCGATATATTAGTTAAACTTATTTGAAAATGACTGCTTTGCAGCAGCCGTGGTCACGGGGAGACTGTCTCCCGTGACCACGGCTGCTGCAAAGCATCCGAAACGTCCGGCCGAAGTAAAAATAATTTTCAAATAAGTTAAACTAATATATCGCGTTTTAATATTTGGGACATCCTGCACATAAAGGACTTATCTATTAGTCTCTTCTTCTCAGTCATGCACTCAATTTAAAGTGGTCGTGGTCTGTGACGATGATGTCGTGGTTCGTGGGGTGTCCTCTGTGTTCGAGCATGCTTTAAGGACTATCCTCCTCCATCTTTGACGGTCTTTTGCATCGCGACTACACTGTTCAAGTGAAGATCCGGTGGTAGTACGGATAAGATCGGCCCAGCGGGTATTAGTCTAGAACACTCCAATGTTATAACGTTTTGTCATCTACATTGTAAGTACATTCACATGCACAACACGTTATGACTAACATCGAAAATAATACGTTAAGTAGGATTATATCGCGTAATTTTCCACGTGTTAAATTCGCGTTTATGTAATGGGATGAATGGAATATTCGATTCGAGTGAAGTCACAAGATTTGATTATATTATGTTATCCACGTATAGAATTGTACAACATTTTATCTTATGTCATAGAAAAAAGTATTTTACGCTCATTATTCAAATGGGTCTCGAAATCAGTAATACGACAAAGACAATTCGTAAGAAGAAAAAGTATTATTAAAATATGCACTAAAACACTTCGTAAATTTAAAATAATATATAACCAATAAATTAATAACTAAATAACATTAAAAGCAAATTATTCGTAATTTTTGTTTCTCTAGGTGTTACCTGTAAAAACTACTTCCATATTTTCATCCTTATATTACCTACAACTATAATGTGAAAGAGATTTCAAACTGATTGCCTACTGTTAATGATAGACTGTGCCCCAAGCTTAAGGTTGCTGAATAAACTGCAGTAACACGAGTCTTATAAAGCAAAATGACCAATTAAATTGTGCAGGATCACTTTTCTTCGCGATGTTACAAGTTAATTGTTGTCATGCGAAGCTTTACTGTATTTATGGGATGAAAGGGGAAATTCTTAAAATTAGGATTCTGTTTAAATAGGTCACGTTTGTTAGGAAATTCAGGACTTAATATCTTCTCTCTTGCTTCTTACTTTAACCATATCAATATAGTTTAGATCATTATTAAACATTTTTTAATTCTAAAACGAGAGTGTAATTTTATTTTATAAAAATATAACTATTTAAATATGAGTGTTTTTAATATGGCGTTTTTTCAACTGCGTTCTTCTGGGTTATACGAAAGAAAAACTATAAAAACAGAAATCATTGATTACTTACTCTGCTATGTGAACAAAGAATAAACTCAATCTATAATATAATTTGTTCATAAATTTGAAGGGTTTAAAAGAATAAGACAGTACAATTTTTATAATTCACCGTTTATTTCAGTTGCAACAATCATTTAATTACACTTAAATTGACGTAACGGTTACAATAAAATATTTAAGATAATACAAAACATTTAATGGAAATATCCGAACGTACCCAGCCTTAAAAATCGGATACTCACACCAAATAAGTTAAAATTTGTAACAATATTTACATGCGAAATGTTTTTTGGAAACGATAATTATTTGAAATGGAGCACTAAAGATCTTATAATCGAACAGATTTATTAGCTGTGCCTTAAAATGACAATCGAGTGAAGAACAAAATATTAGTCCTACGGAAACACAGATCTTGTCGGCTCAGCAAAATAATAATTTGTATGTCGAAGTTAATAAGACTGTAATTAGAATAAGGTACCATAATACAGCCCTGGAAAAAAATACAAATATTATAATATTATTTATGTTCACAATAAATTTAGAAAAAAACAAAACAGAACGACCAATATTATGCAGGTGACAAGATTCGTGTCCCCACTTTCCGATATCTTTTTTATAGTAACCTATATACACTTTTAGACGACAAGATTTTTTTATTTGTGCGACAACATAACTTTTAAAAAGCGATTGCTAGTTTGGCACAGATACATTTGGCACAAGAATTACGCTTCACAGTCGCGGCATATTTCATCTGATCCCTTCCCTTCAGTTTCTACATCGTCTAATTCTTCGCTATCTCTCCCTAGTCTTATGAAGTGATCTCGTGCCCTATTCTTCCTCTGAGGGTAGCTGTAAAGTGGTGTTTGCACGTTGGCTTTCTCTTCTTCAACTGCTCTGCCCAGTCTAATGAATTTTGGGTCACGGCCTAGACGGATGAAATTGGCAGAGCGTTTTGATTCAGGTTCATAGTCGGTTTCATACGTTCTAAGGAGATTTATCAGGTCATCTGCTGTGAAGGTGAGAGGCTGCGATCTACCGAAGCGGAGGAAATTGTTGCTGCGTCTCGTTGGTCTTTGGAACATCTCTCGCAGGTCTGCGGCTGAAGGCTCTGGTGGATACGAACGACCGAACCTGGGTAAAGTAGTTTTGAACATCAGAATCATATAAATATTTAGTTGTGTTTTAAATTTCGCCTATTGTGAAAAGATCACGGAAACTTGTTTTGAGTATACCGAACTACTCGTTAGTTGCATGTATACATTTTTACATGAAATTTTAAGTAACAATTTCAAGTTGATGTCTCCTTCGATTACACATTTAATAAAGCTTATATGCGATATATTATGGCTATAAGTTTTAAATAAAATCTACAATAGATACAGAACATTAACTAAATTGGTCAAGTATGAGCAAGAATGTCCACTTCTGGGCTTTGCCCTAATCTAGCAAAAATATTAACCTTATCATGCTGCGATCGACAGCGCTTCTTCGCCTTGCTTCGAGGTCTGGAGACCGTTTTATTGGATTGGCTACCACTCCCGCCATCAAACAAAGAAGTACCGCAGCCGCTGTATGCTTCATATTTGTCATGGTGTTATCTGGAAAAGGAGGGTTAGTTATTATAGTGATTATCTAAATATATAATATATATATAAATAAATAAATAAAGTCAGGTCTAGTAGCTGTTTTGGAAGTGTGTCCCAGATGGTGTAGGAATTCTTTTATATTGTAATGTACCACTTATAGTTAGGTCTGTTCAGATAACATATTTTTTTTAAATAACTAAACTAAACTAAGAGAGAACTAAGGAGGGACTAAATAATTGTACAAGACGAATTGCTATCACTTAAAAGTTTATATACCCCGATACCCCGTTATGTGGGAACTGTTAAAAACTTAAAAAACCACAACTAGGAATTGACATAATTGCTGTTAGGTATTTTGACTTAATTCAGTGCAATTTGTCCTTATCATAGAATACAAAATGTTTCCGCATTTTCTCAAGTCAAGGTTAAAAGACCAGACTTTCGGGCGCCTAGAGAATATTTAAAGCTATCCAAGCATTTTAGAATGACAACGCAGTTAAAATTTCATTATACGACTTGATCTCACCTACATAAACGTGAGCTTGTTTCACGGTGTTGTTGGAGTATGGCTCATCAAGGGGTCGTGGGTTCAATTTCCAGGGAGGCTAACATCGTAGATAAGATCGTAAGTAGATCTAATTTATGGTTTGATTAAAAATATATATGTATAATATTTCGCTAATAGCCTTAGCCGTAATTCCAATGTTTATAAATAAATATTTAAATATGTTTCATCGTAAATAAGAAAAAACATTAGTTTTCAATGATTAGTTTTTAATTCTTCTTCTTTTAAAGGCCGGGAGATATTGATTTTAAAAATTATCAAATCCGCTAACTACTAACTACAACTAAAAATATATCATGAATATTAGGACAAAATATATGGAAATGGTGTATAATTCATACTTATGAGTGAATAAAGTAGGAAACACAAGAATTGTAATGGTCTTAAATGTAGATTTATTATCTGCATTAAGGTGTAATGACGCTTTTAGTATTGAGTTTTGTTCTTTAAAAAACTCAGTGAAATTTTGTCTCGAAAATATCCATTTAAAAGTGACACAAAACTACATTGAATTAGTCGTTTTAATAATCGGGTTAAAATAACTAGTTTTTATTGAGCCTCCATGGGGCTTGGGACACTTTTGTAAGTATATCTTTAACACTTTAATAGAATATAATCTCTAATATATTCTCGCTATCAGGACATAATGTATGCAAAGTACAACGTATTTTTTTTATTACCAAGAAGGTAAAAAATAGTGGATATTGGCTATACATTCCTACCATTGAACTAACGCGCTCTTCAGAATCAATACGACTCTCAATATAAAACAATTCGTGATAATTAGAGTACGGGTCGCTGTTGATATAGGTACAAGCTTCGCTTGTGTCATCGCTCATTTTTCGATCGAAAATAGTTTTGAAAATTTTAATATTAAATACTGTCTATAGTTTACGCGAGTAGTACACATTTAAATAAAACACTTTAACGGTTTAAAACGCGATATATTCCCATGACCACGGCTGCTGCAAAGCATCCGAAACGTCGGGCCAAAGTTAAAAATCATTTTAAAGTGTTTTATTTAAATTTTAATATTTTCACATGTTCGCAAATAATTTGAAAAAAAAAATTACGCACTTGGTGCATGTATCAATGGGTTGAAAAAAATCGACGATGTGTAGGATTCGGTAGCTCAACTAGATAGAACAACAGCTCGGAACGCTAACGATGCCGGTCCAGGTCCTACCCGAGTCGTAAATTTTTTCAATTTATTTTCGATTTTTAATTTAAAATAGTTTTCTTTTATACGAGTATGACAAAGTATTTTAGTTATATTGTCGTTTTTACCCTGTAAACATTCCCAAATCCCAATACCCGAGAGGTCACATGAATGTTAAGAGTAAATAGCAACATAAAATGGGTTTGTGACGAATCTGTCTTGACATAGCGCCATAAAACATATTATGATTATAGCGCGCCGAAAACGAAACGTTTGCTTGATGGACCGGCCATTGTTTGTTTATAGTCCTTTTTAAATAACTCCCTTAATAGACATCGGTTAACGTCAAAGAAAACGATGCGTTTTTTTATTGAATTTCTATTATATAACTTGCCAACAAGGCATACAATGCATGCTATATAGAAGAATTTTCTAAAAGACACGGCGTGTTGTAGGATACGAAAAGTAAAGCAAGATAAGTCTTTATATCCAGGTAATCAAACTCACGATTTAGATGTCAATACTCTTAGCCAACTAGATTCTTTTTCTTCGTAGAGTCTTTAAACCCGGTGATAGCGAAATAAAATCTCATGCCTCAAGAAACAATGACCCGATAATGACCTGTCCTAGATAACGCAAGAATCAAGTGAAACCCTTCTACATAATCATATAAAAGCTCAAGGTTAGACAGTCAGCCAGACACAGTCACTTCTTTAACATTATTCTAAATATACCTATATATTATATAAAATTACTACCCTACCCTACTTCTATATTGTTAATTATTTAAAGCGAGTGTTGTAAGCACGTCTGTGGTACACACTAATAATAAATAACTAAAATAAATATTCTGATTTAAACGGTTATAACATATGTGAGTTTGTAAGATTGAGTTCAAAAAATTGTTGAAGAATTGAGTGTTACAAACTCCACGTAAATTTCTACTTTAACTAACGTTCTAAATTTAAATATTTTATTTCGTAGGACAAAGCCGTACATATAGTTATTTGAACGCCATATTTGAATCGAAACCACCTCACTTAAAAGCCTCGAGTCGTTAATGCGGTCGTTAAATTGTTCTCAAGGAAATAAAAATCCTTCTCAAATAAATTCGTAATCGCGATATTTATTACGTTTTTACATCACAATAGATTCGACATTTCTGACCAGAGCTTAAATAGGTGGTATGAAATTTTAAGGATAACGAACTTTTAAATGTGTTCTCTTAATAAGCTAAATGGAGTATCTTTCCTGGAATAAAGTAAAAATAGCTTAACACTGTTACGGTGTTAAAGAAAATTAAATTAGTGACCAAAGCGTATTAGACAATTTTCTCTGCTATAACATTTAGTCGGTAACATTAAATTAAATATATTTTGTAAAAATTACGATACGGTATTTTCAATCTATTTTAATATCATTTGTAACATACTTAGTTAATAATGTGATTCAGTTTGTGTAATATACGTATTTTACACTACTATTAAATATGTTTTTGTTTAATTTTAACAGATCTTGTTATGTAAAGACCTTATTTTATGACAGAGGAGGACAGAGAAGCATAGCGCTGACTAGATCGAAGACGAGACTATTTTGAATTTGGATTACTGTACGTAGTTATGCCTTTTTTTATTAATTTGGCTTGTTAGATTATAGATGTGATATTTCTAAATACATTTGTAATGTTTGAATTTAATATTTGTAGTGGGTAGTTAACTTTTCGCTAATAATCCAATTTCGCGTAGGCAGTAAAAGCAACTTCAACGCCAGGATAAATTGCGTACCAGGAAGAGCGCTTTTGAAAAGAAACATTCCATTTGTTTCAATATACCATGCATTTGCCTTATACTTTTGGAAATTTACCTTACTAAACCACTGAATAGCTAGAAGTAGAGTTAGCTGTTAAATGCATGTAGAGTATTGGGCCCATATTTGTGCATTTCATTGTCTCATGGATATTAGACCAAAATGCAATTACCTCACAACCCAGGTACTCTATTATTTAACGGCAATGTTAAGAAGTATACCATAAAAGTAGGGTATCACAGAAAAGATGGAGTAGATAAGTTATGATAAAATGCATGTCGAAACAGGTCGACTCCACATCACCAAAATAAATGGACTGCAGGCATACTTTTTGTCACATAACATTAAAAATTCAAAAGTTTGCAAGCAAAATATCACACAAGTATTCTTAATAGTATCTTTGTCGCCAGGAAGCCTCATAATTCGTTTCAAAGTACAATTTTTCATAAATCCCTGAACTGTTTTACAACTTAAAGTAGCAACTTGGTCTCTCGCCAAAAATACAATAAAATACATTGTTCTAATTCTTAACAAAGTGATTCTATAATTTATGAGTTGTAAAACTCATTGCTGATTCAGTGAATAAGAAAAATATTCTTTTGATTTTTCACATTAAGTGATCTTCGACCTCTGTACTAAGGTCGTGAATCGTGATTTGACTCAGACATTTGATGAAAATGTTGGTTGATTGTTGTATAAGTTTTGGATTTAATCAAAATAACTCTACATCACTGAAATATATCGTAATTTAAGATACTCGTGGTTCATATTCATTAATTCATTCTTTGTAATAGTGATCATTTAAATTATGTACTAATTTACTCATATGACTATTTTTTATTACATTGAACTCTGTGTAAAATCGTGAAATAAACCACAATTCCATGACTCCTTAAATATGTAACTGTTTACGAGAATATTAGGTTGATAATATTTTTTTTATTATATAATATTATTGCACATTAGGGCATTTGATAGATTAATAATCTATTTGGATTGAAAGAAATAAGACATGTAGACATGTGACAATAAGATCAGAGCAGTGGTGCAGCTAAATTAAGCAACCTGTGGTTGCTTAACTCAGCACTTCACTGTAGATGCCGGTTCTAGTCTTGCCCGTGCCATCAGATTTTTTTTTATATACGAATTTAACAAGCGTTTTGAAATAGTTTTTGTAAATTTCAAAAGTAATGCAACTGAATAATGACTAGAACAATACCTAGAGCTAGTTATATTTCTTAGTTAAAATTTATTTTATGGAGAAGAGCAAGTTATTGCAAAATGCTTCTTATATAATAAAATATAAAACAGCAGCAGTGAATGTCGCGCCACGTCCGTTGTCACACAATACTGCATTGTCACCACATCACAATAGAAACATCAATTATTTCATTTTAATCCAGGTTCGCTTATAACCAGGAAGAACGGGTTTCACTTATGTTGATATATTTATAGAATAATTCGAAAGAGAAAA